ATCCTTTAAACAACTGATCAGGTTTCATCAGGTACTTGGCTTTAACTCATTGACAAATAATTGAACGTCTGTGATGAAATGGGGCATTAATTTTGTCCTGAAATAGTTTTAACTCCATTAAACAGATTGTGCACCAAGTGTGATAAACCCACAAGACGGTACCGGTACGAGGGAAGCTATTTGCTACGAACAATGGCATCGGTAAATTGACATACATACAACAAAATGTCTCATTTGTGACAGGTCTTCAGAATTCCCACAAGCACACAGGAACGGTAGGACGGTGAATGCGCATTTCCCATAGTTACTACTTCGAACACAGTAATTTGCTCTAGGAGGTCTTGCTCATCTTTGAACGTTGAGAGAAACAGCCAATCAGGTTCTTGTGCGCAATTCAAACACACCAGGAAGATTTACAGCCTAATTTGATGTGTTTGTGCTCGAAGAAGTTTCAGGAACCCAGTACCCCCCTCCCATGGTTCAGGCCAGATATCATATTTGAAACACTGGGTCACCTTTATCCATCGCATCAAGACCGAAAGAATACATATTTTCTAGATGTTAATATTTTGTTTAATCCCCTCAATAGCTGATGTTGTATTAACAACAAACACATTCCCAGCTGCTCAACTTCGACTTATTGGCTCTACTGGTGGAATCGATTTGCTCAACGTGTACATGGTTGGCAATCCAGTTATGTGTCGCACTGTATACCAGTTTATCTGCAGTTGCGGTGACGCATACATAGGCAGAACCAACCGTCAATTTTCACAGTGGATGGCCGAACACATTCCAAAGTGGTTGGTGAAATCGATGGCGCAATCCATACCCAGTATTCAGGCGGTCACACGTAACCCGGGGTCATGAATTGCAAAACACCTCATGACAACTAAATACAAAATTGATGCCGCTTCCTCTTTAAAATCTTTTTTACGTAACTGTAATGCAAAACTGTTAGTAATATGTGAGGCGTTGTTAATCCGATTACATCATCCCGTTCTGTGCGCCCAAATGTTGTTGATCTAATCAGTTCACTTGCAGTGGAGTTGACATGTTGTTTTTAATTATAATAGCCCCTGTCCATCTGTACATTTCCGTTCCCTAGGATTCACAAATCCAATGTGCTATAAGTGTGCCTGTTTGTTTTAAGTCAGCAATTGAGGAGATTAAACGAAATGTTAACATTTCGCGGCATATCACTTCTTTCTTCCTAATACGACAGATATCATGTGACAAAAATTTCAGTGGAACTTTAAAGAAATTCTTCGCCTTCCNCCCCCCCCTACAAGACACCCTTCCCAATGATTCTAGCTTATCACACGAGATCCATGGATGGAACGGATCTCACTGTAAAACTTGGGCGTCGTGATCATGATTATTGAGGAAATTAGCTTGTCTGAGCCACGACGACAACGTCAACCAACGCCTTGTGTTTTGGTTTTTCGTTCGTCGTGGCTAAGACAAGCTAATTTCCTCAATTCTAGTTTATATTACATAATAGCTCCGGCTGAGAGACCATACCAACACCAACATCCTCAATGGGGATAAACCGATTCCACCAAGTCTGCTTCACCTCCGCACGACTGTTGCAGGATGAAGTGAAACGAGAGCATGTCTCTCTCAATGCTGAATTCAAACTTGAACTCACAATAGCGTTGTGAAACCTAAAGAAGGAGTTCCCCAAGGGAATTAATTAGCTCTCTTTGCGACATCCCCAGTGGATGGACACAGGAAAGATGTTGAAAAACACTCCTGTTCTCGTATACCGACCAAAAAGAAAAATTGAATGGAAAAAATCTATTCCCGACAGAAAAAACTTCATTTGGATTAGCTTGGGATTACAGATTTCCAATTCATTGTCGAATTCCCCAAGAATCTAATGTTATAACATGGTGTTACGGATTTATTGATTACATCGTGCCTGGGAGTATTTTTTCCAGTCGATGCTGACTATATCATTCACCAGTGAAATTTTTAAGTAGGTATGATGTATGAATTGTGCCATAATCACTTTTACAGCTTTGTTTTATCTTAACTAGCAAGCAAATCGTGTGTGTGTGAGTGTGGGTGGGCGGTAGGTGGGTTTCATTTTATCCATATGTGCAGCAGAACAAATGCCAAAAAACGTTTTGACAACACAGTGGACCATTCTACTCATAGGAAGAGTGTCCTGCATCAATCTAAGACTGATATTCGGGACCGAAGCAGTAATGTTTTTCGTACGTTTTCAACAACTGCATCGACATTGACTCCAACTGGCTTACTTGTGTCCTGATCTTTTCACATGATTTACAGAATATACATGAATTTTGAGACACATAAGTGGTCAAGTTTGAACGGCACAACTTGGAAGTTCCATTGTACGGGGATTGGCTGAACCCAGCTCTGACGCCCAAACACATACACACACACACACACTTCATGCCATAAATGTGCATATGCATTTGTATACGCTGAATACCAAACACCAGATAGTAGTGCCATAATCTAGGGATAGCCATGTTTCATTTGCATGTCTTCGCAATCGAGTACTTTCGAGTAAAAATTGGATACATTTTTAAATCATAGTTGGATACATCTAGGTGGTTTGAGCACTGCATCCGTCATTATATCGCAGACAATGTACCGGATAGATCTCTCGCAAGTGTAACCACGCGCCTTCCGGTATTCGGTTAGCTCTATTTGACCATAAGATTTTTCGAAGCCACTTCGCATTAGCCAGTTGTGAATTTCATAGCTTAGTCCTAATTCATCCGGTTTACTTTGTTCGGTGGTAGTGTTTTCATAGGATCACAAGATTTCAGCGAGAAAGATGATCAAATTCAGAGTCCATAAGCAAAAAAAATGAATTTTGGAAAAACATTCCAATTTTCTTATGAAAATTCATAACTATCATAAACTTTATGGTATATTTCGATAACCCTCGTTACGTTATTTCAATTGCAGTTGGTTTGATGGAGATATCTCATTCCGATCCGGATATACGACCAAAATATTCCGTATTTAAAGGTGCTTCTGTGGTGATGACACAGAGATAGAATGTAACCTGAAAATGTAGAACAAAATGGATGTGAATCTGGTCAACACTGATGCGTATATCGACCGAGCATGAACGATTGGTGTCCCAGTGCAGCATCACGCGACGGAAGTGAGCAATGACTCGGGCGTTGATCGCGCATGATCATTGGTATCAGTGGAGTATGACCCGATATGACTTTGCAAGGGAGGGGATCGAACACACACACAGAGGCATGAGCCTACTAGCAAGGTAGGCAATCAAGACATGTCATAGGAATTTGTGTATGACCCAGGCATGTCTCACAATCGTCACCCTCGCGCTTCAACCGGAGATTGAGAAGTCTATGTTGCATCGTGGTCATTCAGACATCGCTGGGAGGCTTGAAAAATACACAAGTTTGGCAGGGTAAGGTCGACGAAACAACTTGAAATGATACCCGGACATCTTGAATAGATTTACGGACAAACTGTTTAGTGTTATCCAGTTGAGTACTGCGTAAAATAATTGAGAGAATATGAATCCGGCAATTCAAAAGAGGGGAGGCAACGATTTCTCAACTTTAGCACAGCTTCGATTAGCAAAAGTTGTCTATGTAATCCGGTGGCCCGACTCCTGTCTACATTATTCGGGGACAATACCCAATGGCTTATCTTTTCAACCGACTAGGCGGTGTTAGATTATTCGTGTAGCGGGGGTTTATTAGAACCTGAAACAGATAAGTTTCAAGCTATTTTTGGCGGTCAGGTACCGTACAGTGTTAAGAGATTCGGTTCAAGATGAAAGTCTTCTTTATTTATGATTGCACGTAAGTTCGAGTTTAACTACTGAGCTAAATGCCGCGCTATTTAATAAGGTTATCGGCCCTTGGGGTATGTCATCTTTCAAGATAGTCAGATAGCATTTGATTTGATATCTTCAAAAGAAGAGAGGGAGAAAGAGACAGAGAGAGAGAGTATTCACATCATGTGTTCATTGGAGAGATGGAGACTCGTAGAAAATGACTACCTTAGATGCAGTACCCAGAACACTAATAGGCTATACGTTCACTTTTTTAAATTATGTTCAGCTGGAAACGAGCCATTTTTCAACATCCTAAGATTACTGGTTTTTATGTTGTTCACCTCATTCTTCTGTGGTTTATCTGTTACAGTCTTTCTTTAATCCGGTTCTACATGTGCCTTTTTGATGGAACGAGACGTTTCTTTCTCCGGCTAAGGCGTAGGTTTTCCTCCAATCCACATGCAATGATTGCGGAGATCTATGGAAATTTGCATTTTTCTTTATATCTGGGCAAAAGTAGGCACAGTTTGAAGTTCTTTCATGAACTGTTACATTGAATATGCTTTTATTTTATGCATGTAAACTCGCAGACACCAGGATCTGTCTTGTACTACTGTCTGTATGGATCTTGTGATGAGAGTTAAAATGATACCGGAGCCCGCTCGAATCGGATTGCACGCGCCTGTTCGGTGTCGGTTTCGACTTTGCCAGTATTGGCAGGTCCAAAGTTTATGGATCCGTATTTCATCTGTTGAGCCTATAAATCGTTTTGACACAATTACGGTCAACCTGTTCCAGTTCAGTGACTTGTGTTCCTCCTAAACCTGGGGCCTGCAGATGTAACAGATCTCAAACCCTCAAGAGTGCGGTTAGCTCGCAAACTTTTGTTAATGAAATGGTTTTTTCCTTACTGACTAACAAAGAGCACTGGGAAGCTATTTTTTCTTTGTTGGTGCATGTCAACAGCGCGCACCTTTTCTCTGACTCTGCCATGATTCGAACCGAATGTGACCTTTTTGGTTTGGGAATCGAAACCTTTACTTCTAAGCTACACAGTCGATGGTCAACATCTTAAAAGCAACAAGGACAACACGCCTCAACAGTGTTCATTGTCAACCACTACACAAAAGTTATATTGCAAAATGAAATTGTCAGATCGATCTACTCTAAACCACTATCATTTTAACCCCTTCTTAAACAGATGAATCGAACTGAGAACGTGCTGTTCAGAAAACCACGACGAAATAAAAGCGATTTGGAACAAAAAACAAGTGTAAAAATACGTACACAACCTCCGTTAAAACGTCCACCAAATGTCAGAGGACAAAAAGTTCACCCTAAGCTATACCCCGATCCATCGCGATCCCAATCAATTCGTCTTCCACCACTTTCAAGAAGATTGACGCAACAAGTACAAAATGTATTTCTGACCCAACTTCCACCGAACGCTCCCAATCAAGATTTTCTGGTATCCAAAAAACTGCGCATATCTGACGCATGTGTGGATCGGAAGAATTTCTACAATGCCCATAAAAGTACTAGTGAACACAATCCGACAGGGTTGCCGCAGGCGATCAGATCGATTCAAATGGAACCGGATTTACCCGATTTCGATCGGAGAGCTCCGCTCTTACACAGCCTGATCGAAGTTGCTCGGGAAATCAAGGTGGCCCTCGAGAAAGCTCATCACATAAATATAGAATGCGTGGTGCAGCAAATGCCCAAATATGATCCTTCTGTTCCACTGAGATGCGGTCCACGACATGAGATTATTGTCATGGAATTGGGCGATAACTCATCAGGGGATAAACCTGGACCAATAAGGTAATCTCAATTTTAGTGGATCAAACTAAACTCATCATTATTCAGTGGTCAAATCAACTGCACTCCCCGCAGTCCTGCACATCGACAGGCGCCTGTGTTTAAACAAGGTTTGTGATTGCATGATGATAAGTGAATTGCGATTTCCGTTTTTTGCTCTCTCTCTCTCTCTTTGTATTGGAGAGTGGTAGTCTCATAGTTATACACTAATATGCATTGAGTTACTCTCACATCGTTTGCTTACGGAAAATCCTGTTGTTCTTTATGAGGATAAAGGATCCAAAAACAAATTAACCTTTTTTCCGTACAGGCAAATCGGAAGACAAATACCGCGAGAGGAATTCCTTTCGTATACTTTCATCGATCGCATACGTATAACATTGAACAAGATAGACAAATGAAGCGTATCGAGAAATCTAGTTAGGTTTTATCGTTTGTGTGTGTAAGCGTGTGTGTACTTGTGTACTGTGTGTATAAGTATATATGAATATATATATATATGACTTTTCTCTGAGAGTTGCGGTGCACGGTATCCATCAGAAACGACCGAGGAGATGATGATTTTCGGGCTTGTGAGTATACAACTGTCAAGTGTGGATGCTTCAAGTCAGAATAATTCAACTCCTGAGTTGTTTGGGAGCTATTTCTCTGATAGAGACCATTGGATGAGCGGAGCCCATTGAATTGCCTACCTTACGGTAAAACTCGTAGATCAACAACTGCTGTAAGTTGTTACAACCAAACTTTATGTCACACCCACAATTCATCACGCTTGGACAATGACACAATCACACACACACACACACACACTGCTCGTAGTCATTCACTGCCATCGGGAAGAAAATCATTATGGTTGAACCAGTTTAACAATGATTATTCTGTTTAAGGGAGCCAATGGTTCAACGCAATGAGGACCGTTTCACATCCGCTGCTTTTGCTCTGCTCTTACATCACAAATCGTATTCTGCTCCAACAGATGGCCAGACAAATGAAGCGCAATGTATTTATTTTTTTAAATCAGTTTTTAATCAGTTTTACAACCTTTTATTGATTATATGAAGATACGATTCTCAGGAAGAGGGAAGCGTCTAATCAAAGGGCTGCCATACAATACACGTAATGGGGGAAGACAGGCGGTGGTGTTGGGATTCGAACACGTCCTCCGGGATGATAACTGGTGACTTTACCTCCGGACCACCGGCTGTCATATCAGGTCAACAAAGCTCACAACCGTAATGATGATGGGGACGATGTGTTCATCGGTTTGATAGCATTACTTTTCTTGACCAATTTGCAGACAGTTGCACCAGATGCTGTGTGTGTGTCTCATTCGTGGCTCTCAAACTCGGACAAGATGTCGTGTACGGCCTTCCTAGAGTATAGAATTTCGTTGGTGTTGTACATCGACGGGGGTTCGCTTTAACTGCCTCAGAGTGCGTGAATATGGCAAAAGTAACATCAACAGGATGGTCGCGTTTCAACAGTGTGTGTGGAGAAAAATATTGTACATCAAACTATGACATCCGCTTCAACGTAACTTAATAAATTAGCGGAAATCATAGCAAAAACGGGAATATTTGTTTTTAACTCTAAGAATAGTTGATGAGATGATGTGCTTGAGGGTCACCCGGCAGACGAACTTATTCTCAATGGTTTATGGATTAGACAGATGCACCACGGTTGTATGATTTACAGCAACATGTGCGATGGTATGGAGAACACAGCATTATAGATGAAATATGAATTCACAATAGCATAGTTTATGATTTCATATGTCAGTCGCTATTCTTCTTTTTGTTGTTCCTTTTTTGTTGATGTTGATGATGACGATGATAATAATGATGATGATGTTGTTGTTGTTGTTGTTGTTGTTTTTGTTTTTGTTGTTTTAGGAGGGTTATTCAGTCAAATCGATATATATATATATATTGCAGTTTTGGGTTTTCCTCAATGAGTAATTTGGTGCCTCTCTCCGTCTGCTTGCTGTGTACGCTTTCGTGTTAAGTTGAGAGACTTGGTTACATCTACAAATTCAAACGTGTCACGTAAACCATAAACTGTCATATTTCACTGGATTAATCCCGGTAACCTGATCATCCGTTTTTCCCTGTGAGGTTAATTATGGTGAGTTTTTTTTATTATTTACTGATGCCTCATCGACGTGGTTTGTCACCTGCCACCTTTGTGTATTGCAGCCACGGGCTTCAGTTGCTTTGAAACACCCAACCTAGCTAACCTGGATTTAGTGAACCGTTTAATCATGCCCACTAGAATTACTGCTCACCTCAATATATTTTATCTATATTATATCATATATGTATATATCACCCACCGGCTTGCTAGTAAGCATGGTATAAACCCGGCAGTAATAATTTATTCGAATAACTCTGATCTGCTTTATATTTTCGCGACACCCCTGTACCTCTATGGACCACGGTACACTTTTTATTTACCCTACAGTTAACTCAAGAACCCGACGTTCTCCCCCCCCCCCGTATTCCTGGATCTTAAAGAAAATAAACTGTTCCTCAACAGCCGAGGGACTTAGGTTATTCTACTGAATTGTCTATCTCTATGGTCATTTCTCTTCGCCTTGCAAACATCTTATTGATCGCTGTAATTTTTACTATAAACGGTGTTTCCCGGTGGAAATTATTTATATTCTGTTCCATCTATAAGCAGCTCCATCATACCAAAGAGATCAGTAGACGCAACAGTGTAAGAGAATTATCTGCCCAAACATGATGTAAGTTCAGACTGTTTGGGGTAATAAAAGCTGTTGTGAGACGTGGTCTACCTTACGCAACCTCTGTGGCTTGCGCTACATGTCCTGTCTCAACGTTAAAGAAATGAATCGTCTATTCACTGAAGCGCCTGTCTAAAACTCCCTCCAACCTCCTTTTCCGGACGAGGTTCTCCAAAGCTTGAAGGGACTCAAGGTCAACAAAGCTCATGGTCGCGATTGACTAGTACCCCATTTGTTGAAAGCAGCTTGTAACACCTATTTCTGAACTGTTTGTTATTAGGAACGATCCCCGGTTTTTGGAGGTCAGCTCGGATAAGACTCAACCCCAAGAAAGAATAATCAATGTACTGTCCAACTGCTTGTATCGTCAGTTTGTTGAAATCCTTTGAAAGTAATTTACTAATTCGAATGGTACTTCGGTGAAACCCATGTGATCCCCTCCAACACGCCCATGAGTCGAATCTGTCCACACGTAACGTTGTTGCCCATATTGTGTTTTCTTCCTCATCCGTCTTGAACAGAGGTGCCAGTACTGCTAGTTTAATGGTACACAGCCTTCTTCCTTAAACATCAATTCTGGTTTTCAGGGTGCCATTCTATTCCTATTGTTGTTTCATAGCGCATTCAGAATCGTGTCATTAGCAAATACCGTATTATCTGTAAGTGTGCTGATGACGTACTGCCTGGTTATTCATCCCTTGGTTCAACCAGTTTCTGTCCTCTACTGGACGGCCTTAATAAAATTTACGATTGACCTGTGCCTCAGGTCCTTATACTTAAAATCAACAAATCTATCAATAGTCACTTTAGTCTCAAAACTGATGAAAATCTTCACCAATCTCGTTAGCAATAGTCAAAACATTCCCAAATTGATTCTGTTAAATGCTATGGTATCATTCTCACGCGTAACCTGTTCTAGTCTACTCACGTTGGTGTTTTCCATTAAATCCAACCACTGTCCTTTCCCGCCTATAGAATCGGAAAACTGGTCGTCCCTCAAAACCATAATCTTAAATTTGTGTTCGTCGACATGCCTCGAAACCGGTTGTACTGCAAACTGCCTATATTTGTATTTGTATTAGTATAACTTGTTTAAGCTTATGCACTTACATTTCACCTCAAACTGTACAGTGGTCGTCACACCGAATAAACTATATAACTCCATGAAAAATGTGAAACACGGAAAAAATCGCTCAAGTTTGGTTTGTGCACACAAATTCTGACAATTCAATCACGATCTGTTCCTTGTTAGTTATTAGTCGGACCAGGTAGGGTACAGGGTAAGTCTTATAAATGTTGATACAAGAGGCTAGATGCCGAAAAAAGGATGGGAACGACGAGAGGATAAATCAAGATGCACTGGATGACCAGGGTCATCTACAATTTGATCGGCAAATTTACTACAAGAGTTGATGTGACCATTAATGAGTTCTCTGATTAATGAATCGATTGAGATTAATGATGCACGACTGATTCTCAACAAACCACGACGAATGACCGGGAAGTCTTGCTTGAAGAGGCTGGGAAACACTATCGGGGAGCAACAGAGTAAAACTGGGGAAACATATTGATGAACCACCGGAGATTAATGTCGATGGGGACACTTAGGTACTTGAAAGAGATCACTCTGGATACCGAATTAAAGTTTAGGGTAGCGGAGTTGGTTGGAAACGTAGAGCGGGAACGACTGCAAATGGTTTAAGCAAAAATGATTTCACCTTGTTCTCAAGGTGTTATGCATTGTTGCCCCGGTACAGTGACATTGATAGAACTGTTTTGGTTGAGGGTTTTGTTTCCCAGTATGTGATAGGTTTATTGATTTGATCAATCTTGAACAAGAACACTGTCTCCACTACAAAATCATGCAAGTCGTACCGAAAATCCAAACACGGTTTAAGTTTCGCATCCTTCCTTCCGGAATATTCAAATACAGAAGTGATATTTTTTCTTACCCTGTCCGCCTTTGAGTTAATCATGTGTACCGAAAGACTTAGATAATTTTTTCCTGCTCTACGACGTCATATTTATTTCTCTGTTTTTTAATCACTTTTTGTGTAGATCCACTGTTCAAATTCGTTAACTACTGCAAATTCACACTCTGGTGCACAAAGTGACGTGAACTTGGCTTGCCCGTGAAATCGGACACCATGTGGTTTGGGTTTCCTGTACCCCGACTGGTCGTATTCATTTGACCAGGGTTGAGTTAACGATACCAGCGCACTTTGTCGGGCTGTATGTTATCGATGGGGCCGTTTTTATAT